TTCATTTCCACTCATGAAGCAACTTCATCAAGTCACCAATTATAATCAATTTATCATAAAGATTAGAGTTCTGTCGTTGGATAAAACACGAGATGAAACATAATAAGAGTAAACCATGATATTATTGATATTTCTTGACTTTTGCGATCAACCAGCATGTCGTTCTGTATATCTCGCTTGTACCCCATAACATAATATCATGTTGACGTTGAAGACTTGGCAACGATGTGCTGAATGCTGAGAACTGACAATAAGGCACCGCCCACAATTCGTGCGCCGGGTTGTCTCGTTCACCCTCAAATATCCTCTAGTGTGAATTAATATAATAATATATATCAACACAAATGTATTGTCACAAACTGTAGGCGGGGGTTGCCTAAGTTGTGTTCTAGATCCATTAGAGAATGAACTTTGAAAGTGATAATAATAAAGAATACTCCAAAAGGTTTTCAACTAAACATGTACACACATTTATTCTTCGCATAAATGAATAACAATTAATAAAACCTAACTTACCCTATATGTACAAATTTAAAAGGCATTTCTGGGAGCCTGAGGAAGGGCATCTTCTTCTGCCCGAACTCCGAAGATTCGGGCACAGTGGCAAATGATTGAAACTGATTGAATGCTTGAATGATCGGATGATCGAAATAATCGAAACTGATCGAATAATCGAAAATGATCGAACTGATACCTGTGCTGGCTTCTTCGCGCCTTTTATATATCCAATCTATATTTTGGAAACGTGACAGTGAGGAAGTCAGGTGGATGGTTTGAAGTCATTGTCACGCCTGTGTTTAGGTTCAACTATTAATCGAAAGTTCGTGGTTCAATAATTTTGGAAATAATAAACAGATACGTGAACGTTCAATGACTTCGAACCAATATGATTTTAGAAGAATTTTTGGAATTTGACTCAGAATATCTTATCATTTGTGACAATATGTGTATGAAAATGAATTAAAGGAGTACCTACTCTAAGATTTCTAGATGTATCGAGTGGTATCGGCTCAAAATACCTATCAGAGTATACTATCACACATAATAAAGACATCAAAAAATTAAACTCACCAACGTGAAAAAGGTAAAAAATGATTTCTGCAATTACATTGTTTGAAGTTTTCGATTTTCCACAGCACGAAACACCAGAACAACACACGATCGCGATACGAATTATTGGATGAGGAATACAAAGACACATCACTTTCACTCATTTTTTAGAGATCACTCCATTTGGAAATTCGACCGTACTTGATGACATCTTATATAAAACTGTCTTGATTTACCACCTGGTCCCGAATAGATGACTAATGAGTTGAATCATGCTGCTAACCGACTAATTTCCGAACAAATGATTCATCTATGACTATAGTGATGATAATGGAATTTTACGGGGGAGAGCAGTCTATGACTAATGATGATTATACGGGGGAAAAAAGATATATAGTATACAAAATATAACAAAAGAAAAAACAAAAGACTCAAAGTCAGTCGACCACACATTTATATAACACTATATCGTCAAATACATGTTACCGGTTTCGGCGTATTTGACGATATAGTGTTATATAAATGTGTGGTCGACTGACTTTGAGTCTTTTGTTTTTTCTTTTGAAATTTTATTGGACCACTTTGAGATATGGATGATTTTCACGATTTACAAAATATAAGATGAAGTATTGAACACGGATATACTGACAGTAGTGTTTTCGAAAGTCTAATGATTTAAAAAATTTGAACCAAGGCTGAAAATATTATCTTTCCCAAAATATGTAGATATGTTTAGTTAACTGGAACGAAGAGGAAAATAATGAACAATGTGGTTTACTTTTCATAGGCGCGCATCCAAATTGACATTTGGTAAAATAATAATGATAATATGTTTATTTCGACAGAATCAGAATTCAATGGAAGAAATAATGATAGCAAGTTAACATTAGATGAATAAACATTAGAAAAACCACAGAAGCAGCAAATGCTGCTTGTACGTGGTGAAAAAGTGTGAATTTCGTTTGACGAGCTATTATTGAAAATACTAAGATTAATGATTTCGGAATATAAAACTAAGTAGGTACAAAAATTCAAGAGTGTAAAATATTTATATAAAAAATAATCAAAATGGATAGATATGGAAATAAATGAAATGAAAGAACTTCGATGTTAAACAATCACAGAAACTTCGGAGACGTATAATATATATATATGTATATAAAATCACTGACAATACTAAAATAAATGATATCGGAATATGAATCTACGTGAAAAAATTCAAGAGTGTGACATACTTAATCAATTTGTGTGTGTGAAAATATAATGAGCACTCGAAAATATCTAAAATGCTTGACAAGTTGTTCTATGGAACGAAATCCATCGATAGTTTACTTAATTCGGCTCTAATTAAGTTGAAATTTGAGGACTGGTTACTTTTTTGTAATAAAATTGGATTTTTTGAACAACGAGTTCAATAAAAATTCTATTCTTCAAATTGGATGCGCTCTGTTAAAAAAGAAAAGTTTTTTGTTCTGCCTGAAGACGGATCTGGATTCTGAATTCGATTCATATTCAGTTTTGATGAGAAATATGAGTTCAATATTACGTTCTGTATCACAGTTATTAAAGATGGTGGATTCTTAAGAAATACAGTTTCGAACAGAAAGCATGAAAATCAGAAGAGAGTATTTCTCGATTGAAAAAAAAAAATCCAAAAAAACGGTACGAAACATACAGGGTATGTCACAACAAGCTTACATTTTAGAATAAGCGCTCTCTTCATTTCAAATAGTTTCAGCGATGCAGTGTTGCCGTTTCTATCAAAAAGTAGCAACAACTCTATTATATCGAATCGAATACCCTTTAGATTCTCTCTGTAGAGCTGATTTCATCAATACATCAAACTTGGGGTCTATCGTGAATGATTACAGAGATATAGGGTGTTCAAAATCGAGATTTTTCAACTTCAGGATTTGTTTGTGCCGAAACTATTCATAATCGGTCAAAACGGCTCACATGTCCCTATCCCAACTTTCCATTTACTATTGACTGATAATCAATCGGAACAGATACAGGGTGATCAGAATTCTGGATCTTGAACCAGCCTAAACACGACCCAACCCCTTGCCCCTTCCCAGTCATCAATGTACTTTACTTGTAAGGAAACAAATTGCTTTCGATTGTGAAGAAATGACGAGAACCACCTAAGACATAGCCTCTTATTCCATACATTTCTAATTTCGACCCCAGTTTTTGATGGTTGACACAGTCGAAAGCTCGACTAAGATCACAAAGAATTACCTGGATCAACGTATTCAATGGTTTTGTTCAGTAATGAGAACATATAGCTGTGTTCGTAGATTTTTCAGAACGAAATCCATGCTGCCTATTACTTAAGACAGAATGTTCATCAAGGAACCAATTAAGACGTTCCAAAAAGGCATAGGTATTCGAAAACTTTCGAGAGTCTACAAGGGACTGTTACAGGACGATAATTTTCCACAAGGGTTGTGTCTTTCTTTTTGAAAATAGGAGTGACTACCAGTTTTTAACTTGTGTGGAAAATCACCTCTCACAAATGACGTATATATACCAGATGTGTGGTAATATTATCAAAGGAAGAACTCTTCTCAATATAAACATCGGTATGTATGTTTTTAACAATTAGAGTGATTCATGTTCCGTAAATGGGTTCAAAACATTTTGTAAGGGTTAAAATCCTTTTCATTATCGAATACCGCATTATTACTTGGAAGTATCTGTGTAACCAATTCGATAGGAGCCTCTACGAAAAAATCATTGAACTTGGAGGCAATAGTTTCCGGATCTTCTTTAAGCCAATAACACGCCGGTCTCCGAGAATGAAGGGAAAGAACTGCAAGTCAATTTATCTTCTATTTCATTTCGTGGTTACGTATATAACTATATAATGAACAACCACTAAGTTCACATTTTTTCGAAATCAAATCACAGAATTAGACTGACAGATATATATGATTACAGAGATAACAAATTGAATATCTAGCGTTTTCTGTTATTATTTTGATAATAGATTCCTCCCTTTTGTTGAACATTTCAATTGAATCTAGCAAATTATAAGAAATGATTTTTTTTCTCGATAACGGCAGATGCGTAAAAATTACAAGAGACCAAAAAGTTCATGAAAAAAACTCATTTTATATTTCGAAATATACTAGTGACGCACCACGAAAGTTCATGTAGCGAAATGGCCTGATCCATGAAAAAATATCTCCCTGTAGTTCATTATTCCAAATTCTTTGGGATTTTCTCTCCTCGTTTCTATAAAATGAAAATATGGATATTATTTCAATATTCGTGTAGTAAGGACAAATCAGATGATTTGCCCCAAAATGTCACTGCGTTTAAAGAATTTTCCTATCAGTGACATTTTGGGGCAAATCATCTGATTCGTCCTTACTACACGTATATTGAAATAATATCCATATTTTTATTTAATAGAAACGAGGAGAAAAAATCCCAAAAAATTTGGTATAATGAATGTACCACCTCCTCGATTAACCTACAGACAGTATCTCCCTGTAGACTGTAGATTCTTACAATAACTTGGCCTGTTGTACGATGTAAACCCTTAAACATAACCTGTTTCAAATTCGATTCATTATCAGTAAAACTAATAAGAGCTGTAGAAGGAAGAAGAAAAAAAAATAACGCTTTGTAGATCGGTAACGAAGCGGTTGGGGACTATATGTTGGGGACACGTGATTATAGGAAAAAAAGTCTTATTCCGATCTGAGAAATGTAGTCTTTGTAATCTTGATACTGGATTCTGAAACATTCTGTATATTGGAATAAGAAAAGACAGACGAAACTAAAAACTCTTTTGGACAAACAAATCACCCCCCCTCCTGATATCGACACCATTGCATTATCATGTTGGAAGCGAGAATATTGAATGTAGGTAGCGAGTGGGAACTGCCTGCAGGCAGTCGCTTGCAACTGACAACTAGTTACTGACATTTATAGCCTTGGCTGACATTCAAAATTTTCGTGTTTTGTGTCTTGTGATTTATTTATTAAGTGTGGTTAGGAAGTTAGGTTCAGAAATCGATAACAACAAAACAAAAATCAAGTTGATATCTTATTCAAAGCCAAAGCAAAACATTATTTTAAATATCTTTCATATTATCAATAGCTAGATTTCTCATTGTCAGAATCGTGAAAATAGAATAATGGCAGGGGTAGATATAGTTATTGAAGAAAAGAAAGACGACGCCATTGACAGACAAAAAGTGAGTTTATTTCTCGGTTTCTTTCTATTATGTTATGTTAATGTTACCATTTATCTGATATTCAAAATCTTCACTAGAGTACTGATGGTGAATTCATGCGCGACTTGACTTATTCCTATCTTAGGAATTATGCTGGGTTTATAGATTCAATCAAACTAACAATTTGGAATTAACAATTAACAATCAACAATTAATAATCATGAGGGTGTTTATACATATCTGATATTAATTAAGAATTAAAAGTGAAATGTCTTCTTATTAAATATCAAAATGATGGTAAAAAGTGATTTTGGTCTCCACAATTCATGAATCTATAAAAAATATTCCAATTTAACATCACCAAACTCCACTTGAACAATGACAAATCCAATCTTCATGTTCTGTCTCCAGAATTTCCTAATTCTTAGTTGTTAAGTTGAAAGTTGGCCAACTTTGTAATTCTTAATTCTTAATTTAAATGACAGATGTAAATGTATAAACCCTCATAGATGTTTCCTTGTATTCAACTTTTTAAGTTTATAGTTGTTAGTTTAATTCTTAGTTTAGTTGAATCTATAAACCCAGCATTAGAGAAGGTGTATGGTGGATTCAGGATTTATTCAATAATTTATATTTGAAATCCTTTGAAATAGACCAATTATCACTCAATATTCTTACGTTGAGACAAGTCATGCTTGAATTCACCATTAGAAGAACATAATTACTTGGATATGAGTAATGTGGTAAGTTCCTAGCAATCCACCATGCTAGCAACCAAGTATAATATTGTAATTAGCCTGAAATCATATAGAAACACTAACTTTTTATTCATATTCTAGCTAATCCAGCCATTTCATTAAAATTTCATTTCAGGGAGATATAATTCTATTTTTTTTAGTCATTTTGGCACAGGCACAGGGAATTGAAATACCAAACACATATAATGATGATGATATTGTCCCAAACTTTTTATCCATATTCTAGCTAATCTAGCTATTTCATTAAAATTTCATTTCAGGGAGATATAATTCTATTTTTTTTTTAGTCATTTTGGAACTGGTACAGGGAATTGAAATAGCAAACACAAATAATGATGAGATGATATTGTCCCAAATATCACACCAGGATAATTTGTACTAGATACCATTTGTAAAAGAAAAAAATTGTTTGCAATTCTTGCAGGAAATACTTTGGTGATATCAACTATTTTTTGAACTCTGCTGTGTCTAATTAAAAACATCAGTTTTCAATCACCAAAGAATCATTTTGTGCACTAGATATAAAAATGAACTGTTTTTTCCTTATTTGCATTATCAAAAAAGTATCTATTATTATATTCATTTATTTACCAATAGATTCATTACAAGACAAAAATACACATCAAAATCCAAACATTCCTATGATGTCTTAAGTAGGCTGATTCAGGTTTTAAGGTTCAAACTGAAATGGGTGATAGATCATTCTAATCAAAACAGTTCATATTAAACATGCATCTGATCTTGATCAGTAGCAGAGCTACAGGGAGTCAAAATTTAAATATCTTTTTCTATTAATTGAAATATCTCCCTCACTTTTGAAGATATCATTTTGAAATTGGGTGTGTAAAGTATCATCATTTGAAGAATTTTAAAGATTTTCAAAATCTACAGGGTGATACGTTTTTGGGAGTAGAAGCTCCTTTATCCCCCCAAACTTTTTCATAATATGCCTCTGACATCTTCCAGTTACCAAATAGGTGAATTGTTCAATTTTGAGTTTTTTTCCCCTCCAATTTTTTTCCAGAGATGAACGGTTTCCAAGATGAATGAGCATATTCGTTCTGAAACATGTTGAATCAATTTTTCTAGTAAATTTTTTTCTTTGACAAAATTCGTTAACAATAATGGATATCACATGACAATAGTTACAAAATATGTGTATTGTGGATTGATAAAGCTACATTTACCAGATGTATGGTGGTGAATTATCAAAATTCACATGTGGCTTAATTATTCATTACCTAATTTGGGGATCATATACTGGGTGACACAGGATATATATAACAGCCTGTTACATTATTTTTTACTTGAAGAGTTAAAAATCTGAAATTCACAATGGTTATATTATCAATGATGGCGCTTTCCTTGAACCCAATGACAATTTTCTTCAACCACCTGTTTGATTGGAAGTAGACCTAACTTTTTTTTAATGGCACCCTGTATATTTCTGTAGCCTATCTCATTTGCCTTCAAATTCTCTATTCAACTGTGACAGAAGAAAGGACGAATCAATATTGAGCAGATATTACATTATTTTGAAATCATAAAATTATCGACGTGAAATTTTCAACAGTAGGGACACCTGCGTTGTAGGCATCTTTATCATTTTCTTGAAGTAATCAAATATCTGTTGTCACTTCTGTCAGTCTAATTCTATGATTTGATTAGAAAGAATTGCGAATTTAGTGGTTGTTTAGTAATACATTGTGTTCATTTAGTGTGTAATTCTTCGATATCACGAGAGCCATAACCTATAGAGAAAAACTTGAAGATAAAAAACTTTTTCAGTTGCTGAAGTTGCTCATTTCAAAAATATTTTCAACATTACTGGGTGTTTTATAAAAGCGGGACGACTCTGAGACGAGTTTTTTTAAATGGAACACCCAGTATTTTTTATTCCGAATTTATTTCGTCGAGGATTACCTTCACATCGCTGTAAAAAAAATTGAATTCGGTTGCGGCGTTGCGAAGTTATAATTGATGAACCAATTTTTACCACTATTGAAGAGTCATGTTGAATTGGGCATGGTATTTTCATTTATCCAAATTTTGAAAATATTTTCGGCAAACAGTAGTAGCAAAGTCTCACGTCCACCAATCCAGTAATTTTGCGAGATGATCCTCCACAGGGTGCTTAAATTTATATTTCGAGTATTGTAAGATTCAGACGACGTTCATTAGAATTTTGCAAATAGAACACCCTGTATTTCTCATCACAGAATTATTTCGACAACATTCGCCTTCTTATCAGTGGAAAAAAAATCAGAATCGGTTACGGCGTTTTCAAGTTATGAGTAATTTCCTTATGTTTATCACTATCTCAGGGATACTTATAAGGCATGGTTCCTTTATATGATTTGAGTGTGGCAATATTGCTTGTCACATGACATTCGAGGTTCTACATAGATCATTCAGGTATTTTTGCGATATGTGCATTGTCCAAATTTTGAATATTTCGTAATCTTGTTACTTATGATTTAAATTATATGTACCTATGTGAAACAAACGAACATGTCAAGAGCAACGTCTGACCCTGAAACAGTGGTCTGATGGCCTTCAGAATAGTGGTCTGAAGGCTTGCTCAAACAGTTGAACATAATTCAAAGAGTTCCTATGTTAATTACATTCTTTAGTTCGGAGCGTCAACCCATTATTTATCATCAAGTTTCCCAAAAAACCCACTGGAGCACAATTATACACTGAAAAATTGAAAAATACCTGAAATTCTCACAAACACATGGATTATAAATTGAATATCTGGGCCCATCATCTTTAGTGGCGCAAAAATCTTTGAAATTGTTCCCTATAGGTAAGTAATTCGAGATATATTTGATTTTGGCGATGTTTGACAGGTCATTACACGAATGATAGAAGTGTATTTCAAAAAATGAATTCATAGTCTGCAAAAAATCTGTAAAAGTAACATTTTGGATCAACTAGTCGAAACCCACTAAGTTTTGAATTCAAACTTGGAGAGCCTCTTAATGTTCCTATTGTGAAAAATATATGAATGGTCAATGGAGGAATTTGATTATACCGTAGCAACGCAATATTTCCACAACACAAATGAATAAAAGAATTATGACGTACAAATTACCCCGAAATAGTAGTAAAAATAAGGAAATTATTTATAACTTGACAACGCCGCAACCGATTTCGATTTTTTTCTTCAGCGATGAAAAGGCGAAAGATGTCGAAATGAATTTATGAATGAAAATACAGGGTGTACCATTTGAAAATGTCTAATGAATATCATCTGAATCTTGCAAACTTCTAAATGCAAAATTGAGCACCCTGTTGAAGAACATGTCGCAAAATTACTGGATTGGTATACATGAGACCTTGCTACTACTGTATGCCGAAAATATTTTCAAAATTTGGATGAATGAAAATACCATGCCCAATTCAACATGATTCTTCAATAGTGGTAAAAATTGGTTAATCAATTATAACTTCGCAACGCCACAACCAAATTCAATTTTTTCAACAGCGATGTGAAGGTAATCCGCGACGGAATAATTTCCGAATAAAAAATACTGGGTGTTCCATTTGAAAAAACTCGTCTCCGAGTCGTTTCGCTTCTATAAAACATTCAGTAATGTCGAAAATATTTTTGAAATGAGCAACTTCAGTAACTGAAAAAGTTTTTTCTTCATAGTTTTTCTCTATCGGTTATGGCTTTCGAGATATCGAAGAATTTCGCACTAAAAGGACACACTGTATACGTAACCGCGAAGTCGAATGGAAGATAAAAGGAGGCAGTTCTTTCTCGGAGACGGTATTATTGACTCATTTTTCGGAACTATAGCACAACAAAAGCCTTCAACAGTGTATATACAGTGTGTTCACCTTAAGGACTTACCACCCCTGTAAAATTGTTATCATCTGACCGATTTCAGAAACCTTTTTTTTGTTGGATAGGTATTTGAAATGTCCATTCAACAAGAGAGTGATTTTACTCATGAACTGTAATCGTGGCCAACTGCGACCAACTTTATTGACCCATATCTGAGAAAGTACTATTAGGGACTTTTTTTCACGAAAAACAATGATGGATTCTGAATCACGATCACTTGAAAATCACCTTTACTGATTTTTATCATCATAAAACACAGGGTGTCCGAAAAAACGAATTATGTTTTTTCAATAGGTGATCAGGAAATGTAGTATTGTGGTATTTTTGAGAAGAATTGATGATACATTATTATTGAGGATCACTTTGAACATATCTATACCGATTTTCATCATTCAACAATACGATGT